GGTCCCTGTAACGTTCACTGCATCCATCTGGTTGGCTTAATGCAATTTCCCATCAGGCTGGTCCCACATTGTGTGGTGGTTGTATTTGTCAAGGGTACGGGTAAGGAACAGTCAGCTTACGGTCATTTTGTTTCCATTTTTCCTTCATATGAGTTGTGCTTATGGTAGCTCCCCAGATATGCTTTGGTTCCACTGTCTAAGCAGCCCCCAGCAGCACAACACCAAGCATCCTAGGAAACTCTCAAAGTGCTTTTGCTGATGTGACTGCTGTCTGCTCCTCCGCCCCCAACACCACGTGCCCTAGGTAGTGTCTCCTGTCAGTGTCGTCACCCTCTGCGTGTGTAACAGCATAGGGGACACAGAAGTGTCACAACCTGATTCCCTCAAGGACCAGTATGTAGAATCACACTCTTAAAAGACAACCTCATGACCAGAATTTGTGTGCACGTCTCCTCTACTGAATGGGTGAACTGCTCCCTAGAGGGGGACCAGCCCAGGTTCTACAGCTCTGCGAACCCAGCACGCTCCCACATACTAGGTCTGTACATGCTACCTAAGAATCACGTGTCATGCTCCTGGAGTCTAGCAACAGCATCTAGCAATAAAAGGAAAAGGAATGAAAACAAGGGACAGGATTTTAGTGCACCTACCACGTGCCAGGGACTAAGCCAGGTGCTTTCACAGGCATGATCAACCTCCGATACCCCCCGATAGTCCTCAGGGGTGGGCATCAGTGGCCCTACTTTACAGATGAAGAGCTGAGGCCCTGAGAGACACGAAGCAAAGATCACGCAGCCACCGCAGACCTGGGATCCAAACCACAGCCACCGACTCCCCCAAAACGTGCTTTCCTTCCATCGCCTGAGCCCACGTTTGAGCAAAACCAAGGCTCCCTTTACCCTCCTTTTTTTCCAGACACCACGACAGGAGCCCAACCCCAGGACTGCAGGCAGAGATCTCCCCAACCCCACATGGGCAGGAGCCCTGCAGAGCAAAACCGGAACGGACGCTCCGGCTTCCAGACACCAGAGGGCGCTGCGGGTCCAGGAAGGGGGACGCCGCCGAGGTTCCTCCGTGGAAGGCTCTGGTTCCGCCGGGGCAGAAGGACCCTCAAGACGCGCAAGGAAGCTCACTGGACACTGCACACTGCGGCCTCGTTTTTGTTCTTTCTAATTGTATTTCTGTTTGGGGGGCTCTCCAGTAGATTCTGCAGACCGCATTTCCGTGGAATATCACTAACTCGGTGCCCACCCAACGAAGCCTACACCCACGCATCTCGCTGTGGTTCATTTTCTCATCACGGAAGAGCCAGGGGCAGGAGGGGCACCGCGGTCACCACCCCCTCCCTGCTCTCCCTGACTTCACCCAAGATGCTCCAAACCAGCCCAGAGCAGAGGCTATGTGCCCCCACCACCCTCACCACCACCGACAGCGCAGAAAATTATGACAGAGCAACAAGGCCAGTGTCACCAGTGATCAAGGGCTTGTGTGCCAGGCGCCGTGTCAAACCTTTTCTCCTTGAATCCCCCCCAGCAACCTCATGTGGTAGGAATTGCTATTACCCAGCCTCCTGCCCCTTTTACGGAAAAGGAAACTGAGGCTCAGAGCAGCCCAAGGACACACGGTTAGCCTGCGGCAGAGCCACACTGGAAGCTGGGTCTGCTCGACTTCCGTCTGCGATCCCCCTACCGGATGGAGCTGGTCTCGGTCCTGGAGGATGGAGGGCTGCAACCATCGTATTGGATGCCAGTGTCCCTCAGACACCTAGGAGGGCCCATCCCTCCCTTCCTCACCTTCCATGCCCCCAGCACCTAGGCTGTGGGCAGCTCTTCTAGGGCATCCCCTAAAAGGCTGTCTCCCCCCTCTACCTTAACCTGATTTCATATATATTAAACCGAGGGAAATTTGCCCCCAAAACCCCGTGGTGAATATGGGGTGAGAGGGGCACCAGAGAGGATGGTAGCTTCCAAAATGAGGGGCAGCCCAGGAATGTGGCACCATGCAATGGTCTTGCCCCCAGATAGGCAGTGCCGGGGTCTGGCAGAGTCAGAAATCCAAGTTCTGCAGATTTTTAGCTGTGTGACCTTGGGCCACTCACTCACCTTCTCTGAGCCCCAGTTTCTTCAGCTGCCAGGGGAGAGGTGATTCAATCAGCTCTCCAGCTTTCATTCATTTTAGTAATAGCCAGCGATTGTGTTTCCTAGCCATCTTACCAACTGTGTGACCTCGGGCAGGTCACTTGACCTCTAAGCTATGTTCTCCTCATCTGTGAAGTGGGCATAGCAGTGCCTCCCCTGAAGTGTTGTCTCAATGATGAGACATAAAGCATGCCTTGCACAAATTCTGGTCTTCGCAGAGGCTGATGCACATAATCATAGTGGTTAATCCCAAAAAGACAAAAAAAGAAAAAAAAACAAGAAAACCAGCCAGAATCAGAGTAATATGATGCCTGGGGCCACAGGGCTCCAGTCCGTCCACCCCTTCCCTCTGCAATTACTTGGGAGAGAAAGTTCTAGCAAAGAAGCCGACCCGTGAAGCCCCTGCATGTGTCTTAGTCATCAGTGGCCTTCTCCTCTTAGGACTCTGTCTGTCCCCTTGACCCACCGGGCCCCGTCTCATGCTCGGGAGGACAGCAGGAACCCCGTTCGGGGCGAGAGCCCCATGGGCTCAGGCTGGGGGTGGGCTCCTTACCGACTCTCCGAGCTGCGCCTGCGAGGGCCTTTATGCATCATCTCATCCCACCCCCTCGTTTTTACACACGAGGAAGCAGAGGCTCAGAGAGGAGGGTGACTCACCCCGAATCACACAGCTAGTATGTGGCAGAATCTAGACTTTGCTAAAAAACACCCAACTACAGCGAAAGTCAACCGAGGACACAGCCGACAGAGCCAGTCTGTTCAGCGGGCCTGTCCCTCCCGCCAGCGCTGAACGTGGAGGGAAAATCCCGCAGCTGTGGCTTCAGGTCCTGAATGTGGCTGCAGGTGGAGCTCCGGGCACCAGGGAGGTAGGTGCTTCTGGGAGTCAGGGGACTAAGGCTGCCTGGCCTGCGCTTGACCAGAACAGAGGGAGGCAGACGTGTGCCACTGCTCCGGGAGAAAAAAGGCCTGTCAGTTCCTGCCTGGCGACACCAGCACGTCGTCCGTCAGAAACAGGCCGGTATTGCCCACAAGCACTGCCCAGACCGAGTGCCCGACCTCGGGGCTCCGGCAGTCCCGTTCCTGACACTCAGGGACATCTAGGGGTCCTGGCAAGGCCTCTGCTCTGGTTCTGGGCCCACAGGGACCGGCCTGCTCGCAGCCATCACAGCAGCTGCTGAATCTGAGCATGAGGTTCTGGGGGCTGTGCCCACACAGGAACCATGGGAAGCGGCTGCCGTTACCTCATTTTAGGGATCAGGACACCCAGACCTGCAAAGTGACCGAAGCAGGTGACACTGTCGGCCTAGGTCACAGCTCATGCCACGCTATGAGTCACACCCTCTTCTCAGCTGCTTTGTATTACCGTGCAGTCATGTGTGTGTATGCCCGCGCGTGTGTGTGTGAGTGTGTGTGTGTGTGTGTGTGTGTGTGTGTGTGTGTGTGTATGTGTGTGCACATGAGCTATGGATAGGGGTAAAACAAAGAGAAGTTTATTGCAGAATACATGAAGACACGAAGGAATGTAAGGGAGAAAATAAATACACTCCACAACTTTGCAATCTGCAAACCACCAGTGGTTTATAACGGGGGTTCGCCTCCAGAATCAATCCACCTCTCAGTCTCCCTCTCTCACACCCACACCCTGTGTGTTTTCTAGGTCACTCATTATTCCTTGGATTTTGCACCCCGAACGCCATGCATTATTGAGCCGTACGCTAACTTATTTTACCCTTTGCCTGCTAACAGAGCATCATGGCTGTTTCCAGTTTTGCTCGTAAATTACTGAGAATGAAGTTCTGTACGTGTGCATATCCTTGATTTATGTCCTTAGAATAAATCTCTAGACATGAAAGTACTGAACAAAACAGCACCTATAGGGAGAGAACGGGCTGGCCACGTGGAAGCTGACTCCACAGTAATTCAGCTGAGTGGCACCTGGGTTATCCCACCAGCCCTGTGCCCGGGGCTGCATGAGCTCCCCGAGTAAGGACACCGCCCCGGGGGTCTGAGTCTTCAAGAGCCGCGCATTACGGCTGCCTCTGCTGGGAAGTGGGAGACGCATTTTTAATGGCCAGTGTGAGTGCATCGTGGCGTTTTTAGTGACTGCTTTTTATTTCTCCTTAGGGGTGAACACCTTTAGAAAGCTTTCCTCTTCAGAAGGAGCCCCGTGTCCCAGGCTCGCTCACGTCACCGTGGAGGTACAGAAGGTGCAACATGCACACCTGGGGAGAGTGTTCGCAGGCCTCCCTCCACCTCGCCTCCACTGCCCTGCCTGCCTCGTCCTGCTGCCACAGGTGGCTCTGTCGCTCGTCATCTGCCCTGGAAACTTCTGCGACAATCTCTACTCCCGATTCCTCTGGTCTCCCCCACCCCTCCTCACATTTATGTGGCACCTGCCATTCCAACATTCTTGGCACGTCTGACCAAGCGCAGACCCTGCGATGCCTTCCTCCCGCCGAAGACGAGCCCTGGCACGTGTGGATACTGAGTGCCCTGCAGGCTGCTCCTCTAAGCGCGTCTGCAGCTCGGTGCCCGCTCCTGGGGGCACCATTCTGAACCTCTGCTCGGGAGACTGTGAGCCACCGCTGCCAGCCTGCACAAGCACCCCCCCCCAGTTCCCCACTGCGGTGTGCCCACACCCCTCCCTCTGCCTAGGAAGCTCTGACCGCCATGCCGCTCCATCCGTCGGAGCCAGGGGAGGACGCACGCTGAGGCTGGCACCCTGCCCTGGGGACAGCTCCTCTCCCACTCAAGTGCTTACTGGCAACGGTAGCACACACATGTCCCAAACCCAAGTCCCCCTCCTGTCCCCTAGCCTCCTCCACGGCCCTTGGAGGAGCGTGATAAAAGAGAGGTGCTTACCTTTTCACCCTTTTCTCCATGGACAAAAGGTCCTCTGCCCTAGAGAAGAAAAGCAGAAGGCAAAGGGTGACAATGGGACATCCCCCGGGCATGACATCAGATGTGGCAGCAGCCCCCCGGGGTGTGAAAGGCAATGCTTTCTCATCAGCTCTGCCCAGGAGCCTCTCAGAGCTGGGCACTATTATTCACCGAGTATTGATTCTCGCGAGTATCATCTCGTTTACATTTTCCAACAACTCAACAGTATGGTACTCACTTGTTTTGCATCGAGTATTTTCTAGTGCAACCTTTTAATTTCTTTGAGACTATTGTCACTATATATTTTTGGATTGTTTTCTTTGAGGTTGCTCTTGGGTTTACCATCTACATCTTACCTTATCAGGGTCTACTTCAGATTTACAACTTACTTCCCGTGAGATTTATAAACATACTCCTACACGGCTCTGCTCCCTCGTCCTTTCTCGTGCTATGATTTTTACACCTCGTTGTTAAACACCCACTAACGCGCCGTCATAATTGGGGTTCGCTGTGCTTCTGGAATGTGCAGATGGCTGCCTTTCATCAGACTTGGGGTGCCCTTAGCCACATGTCTCTGAAAACGTCTTCTCCCTCCTCTCCTGGGATTCCCACTGGCCCACTTCCTGGGCCCGCGCTCTGCTCTGAGCCTCTGTTCACTTTTCTTCCTTATTTTGTCTCTGAACTTCTGCTTACATAAACTCTATTGATCTGTTTTCAAGAATGCTGACTCCAGCCAGCGTCAAACCTACTGTTGAGCCTCTGTAGTGACTTTCATTTCGGTTACAGTTTTAAACTCTAGAATTTCCAATTGGTTCCTGTTAACAATTCCCGTCTCTTTATTGATATTCTGTATGTGATGAGTTACTGTCACAATACCTTCCTTGACTTCTTTAGGAGCTGTTTAGAGTTCTGTGACTATAGTCATGGTGGCTACTTGGAAGGCTTTGTCTGTTAAATCCGACATCTGCGCCCTCTCACGGACAGCGTCTGTTGCCTGCTTTTTATCCCTGGGTAGGCGTAAGACAGGCGTTTCGTAGACCCCGCCCCACCCAGCTGACGTGAGGTTTAAACGAGCCTGTAATGAAAGCCTTAAATGAAGCCTGCGAGACGTGTCGCACGGCGCCAGGCACGCGGCGAGGGCTGGTCAACGTTAGCAGCTCTTCCTGTTTATTGTGCACAGAGCAGCTGCTCCCCACCTATGCTTAGGATAGAGATGTAGGCATAAGGGAAGGTATGGCACAGCCGGTGAGCGCGAGACTCAGAGTAAAACAGGTACAGGCTCAAAGTGGGCCTCTGCCAGACCCAGGCTCCGTGACAGGGGCAAGGCGTCCAAGGCTGAACATTCTGTGTCGGTCGCTCCCGGTAGAGAAGTGACAAGACTATGTTTAGAAATCTGTTCTAAGGAGTAATGAGAGGACCCACAGGGAGCCCTCGGGAGCACAGCAGGTGGTGCTTCCAAGCGGTGGGATGGAGCTTTGCGGGGAGGACAAAGTGGGGCTCCCAGCAAGCTGCTGGTTCTCCTAGGGGTGAGGCTTTGTCTTGTCACCTCGGGTTTTCCCAGCACCGAGGACCTGGAAGGAACTAAGTATAAGCACAAATAAAGACAGCTGTCGTTCGCTGGCCATCTACCACGGGCCAGGCATTTAACACACATGCTGCTGAGGGAGTAAATGGGCTTTCAGACGGGTTGAGAGACGTGTTCACGACCACATAACACATAAGGCTGGAGCCAAGGGTAACTGCTGAGGCCCGTCTCACACCAAACTTGTGCTCGTGATGCCAACGCCATGTTGGGAGGGTGGGGGCAGTGCTTCCTCCATCCAGGCCAGGACATGAAAGCAGCGACAACAGCACTTGCTGTGCTCCCTGCACTGCTCTGAGCCATTTACACGTAGGAACTCACTGAATCCTCAACATGCTACTGGACAGTTAATTTTATTACCCGCACTTTACAGATGAGGAAACCGAGGACAGAAAGGTTAAGGATTTGGGTGGAGTCAGGATTTGTTTTCTAGACATGTGGCTCCTAAGACCCTGCTCTGAACCATGACTCGTTCATCTCTGTGAGTCTAACGCACCATCGACTGCATTCAGCCATCAGCTGAAGGATTCGTGCACACAATCTGTGCTAGGCCAGGCACTGGGGACACCATGGTGACAAACCACAGACCAGGACATCAGGGGACCGCTGATGTGGGGACTGAGGACGTGCCAGTCATGTGGGAGCCCAGTGGTGGTAGGTGACCTGGACCTGGGGGCCGGGCAGGTATCCTGGAGAACCACACCCACTTGAGGGTGAATGATGAGAACATGGGAGCCAGGCAGACAGGGGAGGGGCGGGGAGGGGCAAATCGGGGTGGATGGAGGACACGCTTTTTCCTGCGAGAGGAAACAGCACGTGCAGTGGCCAGCATGAGAAATGGCCAGCTTCGGTGTGGGTCACTGCCAGTGTGAGAGGACCGAATTCCGGGGGTGTGGGGGAAGTGGTGAGGGCTGGGGCCAGGCCCACGGGCCTCCTGTGCCCACTGAGAGAAGCCCAGACTTCATTCCGAGGGCAGTGTGGGGCTCGGCGCCCGGCACCCGCCAGGGGGCCAGTGTACTCTCGGTGCCATGCTTGCGTCTCCCACCCCAGTCACTCACCGAGTCGCCCTTCTCTCCCCTGGGTCCAGGAGCTCCAACGGGCCCAGCGGCTCCCATGTCTCCCTGAGGGGTTGAAACCAGAGATAAACATCGTGTAGTTCCTGCATCAGGGCTCCCCAACACAGGCTGCCCACAGCCCACGGCGCCCCAATTCCCTGGAAGCAGCGCATTTTGTCTCTGCCAACTACAAAATGAGGCCACACTTCCCACCCCCAGAAAAGGAGGAGGCATCTGAGTAACTTCCCCAACCTCTTAATGCCAGGAATTAGGGACAGCTTGAGAAACTGACTGGATGAGAGTAACACAAGAGTGTCCCTAGGAACGGCCTGGCCAGTGACCAGGGGCCCAGGAGGGGCGTCAGAGCCCCAGGTGCAAACTCCAGCTCGGCCGCTTAACGTGAGCACATCATTCTTCTGCGGGCCTCAGGCTCCTCTTCTGTGAAATGGGCACGCCATCATGAGCACACACGAGATGAAGAGCACGAAGGGACTTTGAAACCTTCCAGAAGTCAACCAGGGTCCCCGGACTGAGCCATTTGTATGACAAGTCTGTGCCCACGAGGGCCCTGGGCCCTCCTAACTGGCTCTAAAGAGAGGGAGGGGAAGGTGGGGGGAAACAGTGTCTGCAAGGGAAGAAAAGGTTCACCAAAGGCCACGTGGGACTGGAGCCCCGATCGCCTACTGTCCCACGAGCCAATCCCAGACAGACTCGGGTGCAGAACACAGGCGCCCGCATCAGTTTCTTCTATTTTCCTTTGCTCTTGGTATGCAGTTTCATTTCTTCGTCCCATCCCCATCTCAGGCTTTACGCTCTAGAACAAACAGCTATTTTGCCTATGCTGTTCCCTTGGGCCGTAACACCCTTCCCTGCCTTCCTGTCCCAGGCAGCCCCCGTGCATCCCACTGCACCCCGCGGAGGCAGGGCCTCCCACAGAAAGGCACCCGAAGCCCTCCGCAGGGAGCTCGGGGCTGCTCGTCTCAGCTGAGGCGCTCCCCACATGGTATTCTTGTCACGGCTCTCTTCCTGCGGGCCTGCGAGTCCTGGGGACAGGGCTCTCTGTCAGTCATTGTTATGTCCCCACATCTAGAATGGGCCTTGGCACCCACGAGGCACCAGGCCATGACTGTGGACTTGACCTCGGCTACATCTAGGTAGACGGAGCCACTGGGAACCACAGATGTTTACTCGGCCTTAACCATGGCTGGGACCATTTGGGGACGCGAGGGCCAGGACCGCGAGCCAGCTACGTGGGAGCCAGGCTTGTCTCCAAGTGGCCGTATCCATTTCCCTGCTCAGAATTCCTCCCTTCCCGCCTCGTCTTCGCTCCTGGTATTGGGGAGCGGGCTCTGTGCCCGCACAGCCCTGGATCCATTCACCCTCAGCACACAGACACGCCACAAACAACCACCACCTCAGATAAACACGTTCTACTTAGAGGCCCACAAACCCCAGGCCTTGTCCTGTTTTCCTTCATCTGCCAGCTGAGGAGCTGAGGTTACAGCTCAGGGGTCCGCAGTGACGCAGAGAGCCTGCCCTCCTCACAGTGGCCACCTGGCCATCTGTGCCACCCCAGGCTGCTCTCGTTCAGCACCGGGTGTGTGTGTGCACGTGTCAGTGCGTATGGGGGGAGCGGGTTGCCTGGGTGTGAGATGGTGTGTGTGTGTGTGTGTGTGTGTGTGTGTGTGTGTGTGTGAT